CCCCCCCCCCCCCCCGCAGCTCCCCAGGGTCACGTGCCCTCCCGTGTCCTGGACTCTTGAAAGCCTCAGCGGGCAGATCAGCCAGCTTGCGGAGCTGCTGAACCGCTCTACTGCTCTTGAAGGGAAGGGCTCAGGAAGCCTCCAGGGTAGGGGCCTGCCCCCTGGCCCCTCACCTGCCCCATCTCCTCCTGAGATTACTGTAGCAGGAAGGTAACCAGAGGGGGCTTAAATGGCAAATGCTGAAGCAATCACATTCCTCAGAAACCGAGTAAGTAAGAAGCAGGCCCCAGTCCCTTGGTCCAGGCCTAACTCCGGGATGTGAGCCACTTTAATTTTGAACAAATTCAAGGTAAACAAGCAGGCTCAGAGTTTCCAGGTCTCCATACTGTGTAGGCAGGATGGGAACTTGGAAGACTCTGGAGTATTTAGGTTGTTTCTTGGAGAAAATTGCAGCCAACGTTGGAGCTAGTTTTAAAGAGTGAATTACGTGTGGGCGACGAAAGGTCCTTAGGTAGCCCCCTGAATTCCCTCTTGAGGCTTCTGAGTTCCCACTCTTGAGAACTGGCAGCTCACCTTGGAATAGTGTGCTTAGGAGCTGTTTAAAAGGAGAAAGTCTTGTCATGTTGTGCAGAAATGAGTGCAAAAATATCAAGTGATAGGAGAACTTTAATAATCTGGTAATTTGCCCTCTGGAAAAGGAATCACATTCCCAGTGTTAGAAGAAACCACAAAGGCAAACATGACGGATGTAGCTACATGAGGACAAGTGATCCTGTCTGATAGAAGATAGAACAGAAAATCCTAAAACAGGCTTAGACAAACCTTTGCAGAAGGCAAAGTGTTAGCATCTGTATATACAAAACTCCTACAAACTCATAAGAAAATAATATAAAGTAGTAGATAACTAGACAAAGTTACCTTGACAAATATAAATTGACAGTTCACACAATTAGAGGAAAAATTTTTTCAAGTTTCTCTTAAATACAGAGAACAAACTGAGGGTTGCTGGAGGGGAGGTAAGTGGGGGTTGGGCTAAATGGGTGATGGGCATTAAGGAGGGCATTTACTGGCATGAGTAAGTGATAAATCACAAAATTCTACTCCTGAAACCATTATTACACTATATGTTAACTAATGGGGATTTAAACAAAATTTTAAAATTAAAAACAAGTTTCACTGCAAGTTAAAACAGACTGGAGGTTCCGGGCGCCTGGGTGGCGCGGTCGGTTGAGCGTCCGACTTCAGCCAGGTCACGATCTCGCTGTCCGTGAGTTCGAGCCCCGCATCAGGCTCTGGGCTGATGGCTCAGAGCCTGGAGCCTGTTTCCGATTCTGTGTCTCCCTCTCTCTCTGCCCCTCCCCCGTTCATGCTCTGTCTCTCTCTGTCCCAAAAATAAATAAAAACGTTGAAAAAAAAATTAAAAAAAAAAACAAAAACAACAGCCTGGAGGTTATATATCACACCTGTTACATGAGCAAAAATGCTTTTTAAGTGAAAACACCCAATGTGGGTACATTGCCGTAAAACTAAGGCACCTCTCCACTCCTGATGGCAAATTCTGTTGTACATCCTTTTTGAAATTCAAGAAATGTGCAAAATATTTAACCCTGTAGTCAACTTCTAAGACTTTCTAGCTTAAGGATATGGTTGAAAAAAAAAAAAAGTACATGTACAAAAACACCCAATCCAATAAATATATATTTATTTATTGAAATCAAGAATCAGATGCTTAACAGACTGAGTTACCTAGGCGCTCCAGTAATATGTTTACTTGAGTTAAATATAAGCATCCCTGATGATGTTGGTGACGATGTAGGTGATGAAACCTTATGAAATCACGTTCGTTTAAATAAAATTATATGTGAAATAGTATGATTATAAGCAGGACAAATCTATATGAACATATGAACAATTATTTAACAGATATGTATTGCTTCTTTTTTTTTCTATGCTAGAGATTGACTTGTGTTTCTTCTTTGGATTCCATGCATGGATAGGTTGCTATGAGTGGTTCTGGTTCCTTGCAGGTCATGTTGGCCGAGCTGAAAGGCAAAGATGAAGTATATGCTGTGAAAGTTTTAAAGAAGGATGTCATCCTCCAGGATGATGATGTGGACTGCACGATGACAGAGAAGAGGATTTTGGCTCTGGCGCGGAAACACCCGTACCTAACCCAACTCTATTGCTGCTTTCAGACCAAGGTATGTCTAGGAAGAAGCCACCATCTTGAGGTAGTGCTGTATGATGTGATGGTATCTTGATGTCTGATTAAAAACATCAATTATAGACCCTCTCCATTATTTTCTAACAGGCCTTGTGAAGTGGCATGGATTTTACCCTTGAAAAGATCAGGGTATATCTGAACGGCATCCTCTCTTTTAAGGGTGCGGAATTTTCCATTCAGGGCTGTGCTCGTGAAGGGATGAGAGGGCAATAGAACTTTGCAAATGCAGCTGGACAAAGCCAAATGGCTAAACCCAGTGTTTGCTCCCTGGAAAAAACAACAGGCGTGATTAGTCCTTGCTCTTCTCCTAACTTTCTATCATTAGGCAAATCATTTAAGTTCTCTGTTGCCTTCAGATCAAATGAAAAGGAGTAAAGCCCGCCCTGACCACTTCTGACTTGTATAATGTCATATGAGGCAGAGGATGTGGACAAGTGCTTACAATGCTCATTTTCAGCTGGCTGTGCGGGAGCCTGGGAACCAGAAGGTGGCAGTAAAGAAATGAAAATAATTTGTAGCTGCATTATGGAGTCTGACCAATGACTATCGTTAACTGATTTTTTAACTTACTGTTTGTTAGTAAAGAAATGCCAACATTCTTTATGAAGCTCCTGTTTTATTACCCCTTTTGTTGTGGGGAGTGAAGGTCTTTTATGGTGGCTTATGGGTTTGTCGTCTTTAGCTTCTTGAGAAGGCAAAGGCAACCTCACCTGAAACTCCCCCCGTGCCCATCTGGAGCCCAGACAGTACAGGGCACCATCATGGAGAGACGATCTCTTGCCCCTTGGCACACTCTCACCTCTCTGTCACTGCCATGATGTTCTTCCACTTTGAATTCAACTATTATTGGTCATTTGGCAAATTTTTATTTTATGATATTTTATTGACTTCTTCCCATGTGCCAGGTACTGGAGATACAACGGTATCTCCAGTCTCTCACCTCAGGGAATTTACAGTCTCTTTGGTACACTGTTTTTCAAAGGGTATTTCTCTGAACCCTCATCACTTGAGAAATTCTAAGAATAAAGGATCCTTTGGCCCATAGTTTGGGGAACTGAAATTTTGACTTCTTCTAGACTGCTTCAACATGTACTTGCTTTTTTAAGTCCCTGAGGAGAAATGCAATGGGGGGGAAAAAAAAAGATTGCCTATGTTTAATCTACTATTTCCCAATTATTTGATCTCAAGCTCCACTTCTACAATCACCTATTCCACACTGAGAAACAGTGATGTAGTGGATATTTCCTATCCCTCTGATCTCTCAGGAAGATAAGAAACACCTTCTGAAAATCTGGAAATCCCTTTTCTGAACAGGTGCAGGAGTCATTAGCTATCCTTGTTTTTGAAATGTGTTATGTAATTCCTAATATTTGTGGGTCTATGCATGTATGTGTACATATGCGGAGCTCAACATGGTAAAAGAGGATCAGTCATATGGTTAACTTTTTCTTTTCTCCACTCGAGTGTAATTCTAGATTAATGAAAAAAAGTGTCCTGTAAGTCTTTATCTTCCATGGCACCTATCCCAGGGCCTCACATTTGGTGGGTATTCACTATCAGAATTGGAGGGTTGGAAGATTTTATAAAAATTATCTCTTCTACTCTACTTTTTGCACCAGTGAGAAAATCAGATGTCAACAAAGTAGAAGTCTTTTGCCTATAGACACTCTGTTTTGGCCACAGTGGACTTAGCATCTGGTCTCTGGGACTCCTAGTCCAGTGGGACCTTGCTCTGATATCACACTGATATTCTCTCTTGCCTGACCCAGCACCGTGCCCCCCTCTGTGGGGGGAGATTTCCCCCTCTTCCCCTACCCCTAGCAGGTAGCCATCTCTTTCCCTGTCTGAGGTGGTTTCATGGGTAGAGATCCACACTGGTGTTTTTTCTTTGGACATATTGCCAAGAGGTTCAACATTCTTGGGAAGCCACAGTGGAGGGTCAGCTTTCCTACACCTCTTGTTGAATAAGTGAGATATGGGAATGGATGTCTTCCATGTCAGCAGTGTTCTCCTCTGTGCATTGTAGAATATCAAGGCTAAGGTTCCTCACTGTATGGCAGCTTTTGGAACACAAAGCAGTATTTAATAAACACCATGGATTTCCTTTATGGGAGAACAATACCCAAACTGACACATGGAGATTGGGGTCTGGATGGCTAAAGCATGGGGTTGGGGAGAGAAGAGACTTTAGTAGTTCAGATATTTACTAACTCTTTTTCTCAGGCTGATGTCAGGTAGCTATAGTTACAGGAGCAACTTTGCCCCACCTCTTCCCTGCCACCATCATTCCATAGAGAAATAGCACACCCCACTTTACACAGCAGACATATGTTCATCTCAGTTTTTGAAAGTGAATCATATTTTAACTTCACTGAAGGACCTTAGCTTATTAATGAAAGCAGTCTTATGAAGAATCATTTTATGAACTCCCAACTTCTAGAAAAGGTGACTTTTCCTCTGACAACCAGTAGTCATGTTTTTTTAAACATTTATTTATTTTTGAGAGACAGAGAGAGACAGACCATGAGTGGGGGAGGAGCAGAGAGAGAAGGAGACACAGAATCCAGAGCAGGCCTAGGCTCTGAGCTGTCAGCACAGAGCCCAATGCGGGGCTCGAACCCAGGAACCATGAGATCATGACCTGAGCCGAAGCCGGCCGCTTAACCGACTGAGCCACCCAGGTGCCCCCAGGAGTCATGGTTTTAAAGAGTAGCTATTATTCACTCACCTGACTATGAGGTAGGTGCTGGCTCTAGGTTTATCAGCAAAATGTGGAGGGGTTTACTCCATAAGCAATGGGGAGTTTATACTCTTTCTGTAAACAAATGGCAGCAGAGAGTATTGGGTGGGTGTTCAAACTAGGAGGACTCAGAGAAGAGGTGCTCTTGGGGTTTGGAGTGGGGAGGGTGCTCAAGCCAGGCTGTGAGGAGGGGAGGATTGGGCCAGGGTCTGGGTGGGAACAGGAACCGGGCTCAGTAGCCATAGCTCAGTCTGGCTTTCATTTCACTTTTCCTGAAAAGAAAGGACCCTGAACCTGGTTTCAACTAAAACTCTAATACATGATAAAGGAATGTGAGATCTGATTGCAATCCTATTAAGATTTCTTTCATTCTTACTTAATTATGACACACAAAGCAGCAATAATGTTAAGTCGGGTTTAATTACTTTTAGGTGAGCCTTTGTTTTTCAGTGTGTAGGGGAAAAGGCCCCCATAGAAACACACCTTTAGAACTTCTTGATAGTTTGCACATAGCTTCAGGCCACACACTATTATACAGATTGCCCAATGGGACTTAAATGTGTGTGAGGTGTGGGTGCCATGTCTGGTGTGGTGACCAATTGTGATGAGTATATAAACCTACTGGCACCAGTCATGATGTCAAGTCGTGAATTAGATATGGTCCTCACAGCCCACTGAAGGTATGATTCAAGGCCAAGTTGGCCTTTTCTGTGCCGTGCCTACCTGCCATTGGTTCATATACTCTGATCCTTCTCCTGGAGATCTGGAAGGAAGAAAAGCAAATGAAACAGCTCCGTTGTTCCAGTGCTAGTAAGAAAAGGCAGACAGGCCAGTAAATTAAGCCAGTAACTTCAATTTCAGTCAAATTCAAACCAGTATATTTGACCTCAGTTCCTGCTATGCTGTGTGCTCTTGGGGCTGGTGGAATAGCCTGAACTAGGGAAAGCTACAAAACTGTATTTAATTAACTATCAAATACATAGTATGAAAGGTGGGTCAGGGACTTCCAACTCCAGCTGAGATAGAGAACCCTCATTTCTATCAGACCCTCTCTCTCATAACTAAAGAACCCTCAATGTAATTCTTATTTCATAAAGGCATTATGCTCATCAAGATTGACATAGCCATCCAGAATTACAGTATCATCTATTGATACAGATGAGAAACTAAAATTTCCATATTTAAAACTGCCAGATGACTTTTAAATGGATGATGTTAAACTGCTATCAATGGTATTTACTATTTTCACACACAATAACTGTTTCTTGGTTAAAAAAGTAGTGTCCATAATGATTTCAATGAATATACAGGTATTTTTTGAGCATCTATTATAGGCTAGACACTGCTAGATTCTGGGGCTACAAAGCTCCAAACATACCAACTCTGAACTCAGGGAGATGACTGTCTCCTGGGGAGACAGATATGTGGAGTGATGGACAGCTCTTCTAATGGGGCCACGGAGATGAGACATTTGAAGCCCTGCAAAGGGTAGTTGGAAAGGCTTCCTAGAGGAGGTGGAACAAAACCAGGACCTCAAAGCATGGGTGGCATTTGAAAGAGGATAAGGGCAGAGAGATGACTGAGGAAACCTAGAACTTATCGACCAATCTCCTCTTCGACACTGTTTTCCCAACGCTGGAACTCTCACCTCTTTCTGTGCCCTACTTCCGCAAGCAAATGAAAATGGCTGAACAACAGCAGTGAAGGAGAGGAAGAGTAGAGGATGTTCAGAAAATTCCTGCACCTGCGAGATCAGATGATTGGTAGAGAGGGGGCGGAAGTACAGTTGGCCTTTGGACAACACGCTCTCGAACTGGCGCACTTATGTGCGGCTTATTTTCGAGACAGTACAGGACTACAAACGTGTCTTCTCTTCCTCAAGGTTTTCTTAATAACATTTTCTTTTCTCTAGCTTACTTCATTGTAAGAATACAGTGTGTAATACATATTACGTACAAAATATGTGCTCATCGACTGTGTTCTCAGCAAGGCTTCTGTGCAATAGTAAGACTATTGGTAAAGTTTTGGGGGGAGTCAAGTTCTATGCAGATTTTTGACTGTGCAGGGGCTGCGCACCCCAACTGCCATATTGTTCCAGACCTACTGTACTATGAGCCAACCTCACTGGGCGAGGCACCCAGTGCAGCTCCACAAGTTACAGGTTTGGTCAAAGTCAGGGCTTAGGGCAAGGAGTGACTTCAGGAACTGCCTCTTCAGGCCTCTCACTCATGCACAGA